TCTCCTGCATCTCAGTGTCACATTCCTGTTCTTTGCTCTCCTCATTTCACATGCTGCTCTCCCTTATTAATCTCTGCTGCTGACATGAACAAAATTGACAGCTGCAAAAAAAGCCTCATTTAACTGACTAATCGCATGCTGGACACCAGTGGGGCAGCAGTGCCACCTGCATAGTCACACTTTTTCTGTGGTATTCTTTGTGATAGATGCCATGTATTGACAGGCCAGACCTAAGAAAGTGAGCTGTCCTCTTGCTTTTGGTTTCTTGATTTATTTTTATGGAAGCAGAATTCCCCTTAACAAGCTTTCTGCCTTCAAATCTGATTCTTCCTGCTGACGTGCATTTCTTGTGGATATTGTGGTGGAAAGCTGTACATTTTCTAAGATAAGACTTTAAAATATTGATAACAAAGTGCTGCCTTTATTTTCTTTCTGTAAAGGTAATATGACTCTCATGGTGCTTCTTATGGATCTTCAATATATATTTTATGATTGCTGAATTCAGAGCTCCTTGTTTGTGTTGTAATTTAGACTAGAAGTCCTAGCACCACACCCAGAAAACCCATGAGCTAAACACCTATTTAATGGTTTATTTCTTTGTATTTAAAAAACAAACCCACAGAGAGAACCTGCTATCCCAGCAGATGTTTCCATCTCCAAAAGTGCTCTGTACTCCCGCATCGGCGCCTCAGATGCAGAAAGCACCACGGCTCTGCTCTACCCCCAGCAGGACCTGGACTCTGCACTACGGCTGGCCAGGGCTGAGGTAACTGTCTGCACAACCTGGGAAAGGAAAAACCTGCCCCTTGCTGTTCCCTTCTTGCCTGTTTTCTCCCAAATGTGATCACTTGTTCTGTTCTTGGAGCCATCCTCAGCCACACTAAAGCAAAAGGTGCCACACTGCAAGTTTTACTTGTTTTACAGATGTGAAAAGCAGATATGATGTAAACACAAATCTTTATGGTTTTAAACCTCAGTCAAGATGCACTGTGCATCTTGACATTGCTATATAATTATATAAAAATATATGCTGCTTGAAATAGGAATAAAATGATGTATTTTACAAAGCTATGTATCATATTAGTGTGGCTAGCAATGGCAATGAAAAAATGGATATAATCCAGAGGGGTTTATTCCCTTTGTTTTCTGTTTCAGATTGTGGCCAAGGAAAGGGAAGTATCTGAGTGGAAAGAGAAATATGAAGAAAGCAGAAGGGAAGTGATGGAAATGAGGTGGGTTATTGATCACTGTGTCAGAGAGCCTCATCTCAGCCTGACAACAGAGTACCAGGCTCATACAGTTGTTTTGCTTAGTTTTATTTGTAACTTAAGGCATTGCACTGATCCTGAACTGATGCTTTGTCTTTTCCCTGTATGGAGGGCACCACTGTTCAGGGTAATCACTGAAAACTTCTGTGTTGCTGATCTCATTCACACCCTCAGAATACTGAAATAAGGGAGGTTTTACTCCAGGTTAATGCCAGGAAAGGAGTTCCTCTGGTCTGTGTGTGAATTCTCACTAGGATTACATGAGGTGAGGTTCCTGTTGCAGGCTGGATGAGTTGCTGCAGAGCTGGCAGGGGGGTGCACATTAAATGCACATTAAATTCACTTCTAGTTCTGCTTGGAAAAAGGAAGGAATGTAGGGAAGAACGTGCAGGTTTGCAGTAGCACAGGCTGCCTCCAGGACATCATTGTAAAGTTGTTCAACAATAGAAATCAAACCAGTGTCAGTAGAAAAGCATTTCCTGTACAGGAACCACTCTGGACTATCAATGTTGGCTTTTAGGGAGATTCTACACCCTTTTCTTTGAACTAAGATGATTTTTTAATTGCTGCACACACTAAGGTTGATTTTAGTAAAGCAATAGTTCTCTTGGCTTTTGCTCTCTTGTTCCCTTTGAGAGCTGACAGAAGGACCCAGAGCTTTTCAGTTTGTTCTGGTTGTGTGTGTTCTATTTCCGTGCCAGCCTGCCTCTGTTACATTAAATATCTGTACACTGGAACGTGGTTTGATCCTCCTCTCCAGCCCAGGTCCTACCACTTGCAAGGATGACAGCAAAATCCCTGTAGTGGATGATGTGAGCAGTGCTGCTCAAAGAAACTGATGCCTTCCATTCAGTCAGTTAAAAACCTTTCAAGCTTTCAGCTTTGCTTTTGTTTTTTTTCAGTTGGTAGGACCATAAGGAGGACAAAACAATGAGCTTGGCTTGCTCATTGATCTGAATCTGAGAAAGCCATCAATTGCAGAAGAGAGTGTATAAAATACTTTATGGAGCCTTTAAAGCTTATTATTTTCTACCTTCAAAAACCAGAAAAAATGGTCCCCCCTCTTAACTCATAAAGAAAAGAGAACTGTCACATTATTTTAGCATCCCTCCTTTAAGTAATAATTTATACAAATCACTTCTGAGACTGAATTTTCTTTAAAATCCCCTCTGTTCTAGACCAGCTTCTTCCCAAAATGCAGAGTTTCAGTGATTTAAAACTAAACTCTGTATCTAGTGATGACCTACATAATCAATCACTTATATCCAGGAAAACTGTGCTTGGGGAGGGAGAGTAGAAGGGAGCTGCAGTGCAGAGCTCCACAAACACTTGCATGGATGCCAGGAATTGCACATGGCAGATTGGAGTAGCAGCAGCACGGGGCTCTGAGCCAAGGCATCTTAAGAGAAGCATCTGCAAAAGGCAAGGGCAGCCTCTTTATTTCTTTTTTGCCACCTCCCAGCGCCCAGCTGAGTTCTCTCACCTCCCTTGTGCTCTGCTGGGATGGGGAACAAAGCCCTGGCATAGCCCTGAAATGCTTAATGAGGAGCAACAGAACAGAGTGGCTGTGAGCAGTCAGACCCAGGGAGCCAAACAAGGAGGGAGCAGAGGGAGGGATTGTGAGGAAAGCCTCAGTGTGCAGCTCACACTCGAGTGTGGGGCTTGCTCTGCTCTGTGTCTGCTGGCTGCCAGTGGGCACTGCCAGCCCTTTCCCTCATGGAAGGAGAGCCAGGGGTGACACAGAGCAGCTGCACCTTCATCTTCCACACAGTAATTTGCTTGTGTGTGTCTCCACCCTCCAGAAAATATGATTTCAAAAACCCCCCCACAATAACCAAGCCAGATTTCCCACAGGCACATGCCCGGAACGTGTGGATGAAAGGGAAAAAAAATCTGGCTAATATTGTCACAAAATGATAAATACACATATGTGCACCAAGATAAGATTTCTCTTGGAAGTTGAAATGTTCAAGCAGTCCATGTGTGGTAAATTAGAGATGCAGCAATGAGATATGACATAATGATAAGCAGGGAGTGAAGGGATTATTTAGAGCTGCAGGCACAAAAGCATCACTTCCCAGAGAAGGAGAAGCAATGCTCCTGTACCCATGTACTGCGTAGTGTAGCTGGAACATCCTGAATTCATCTAAATTACCAGGAAAAGATCACTTGGAGGAAATTCCACTCCAGAGAACAGGAGGCAGAATGAGAGGTTTAATAATGCAGTAGCTATCAAAGAGCTGAACCACAGTGGCTGTACCATAATCCAAGAGTCTAACCAGAGGCAGGCAAGAAATACTAAATTATGATTTTTTGGAGATCTGGTTGATCATAACTCTGAAAGGGGAGTCAGGCAGATGACCTCTGAGAGCCTTTATAGCCTTAGATTCTGATGTTTTTATGCCTTACAAATGATCAGACTGAGTGTCTCAAATACATTTAGGCCTAAGTAATGTGTCAGCCTGGGGTTAAGATGTGCCCTCCCAAAGAGGGATGATGTGGCAGCATCCTTTGGTTCCCCAGCTGTAATGACCATTATTTAGGCTGCTGCACTGAAAGAGGCCTTTGACATGAATCTGGAGCAAATCCTTCCCTGGGAAGTGCTGCAGTGTTGTAATGTTGTGTTCCTTACCCCGAGTACCCTGAGTCCTTGGCTTCCCCTTCTTGGATGATAAAACTTCCCAAAGGTGCCTTGTGTCACAAGGACATGACAAAGCTTTAAAATCCTCCTTGCTTACAGCAGGCTTTTGAGGTAATCTGCTTTGGACATGAAACCAAACCCTTTCTTTTAGGGCAAAATCCTTGCTGTTATCTTTGCCCTCCAAAGTGTTATTTATGGCTGAAAGGAAAAATCCCAGTGCTGGGGTTAGAGCCCTGCTCTCTGAGTGCTCTGCAGGACCAGGGCAGGGGAGATGCTGCTGACTTTAGGGCCAGGTGACCTTCTCAGGCCTCTGGGCTCTGTCTGTGATTCAGATTTGAGGCACTTCTGGAGTTACTACAGTTGATTTTTAGGAACTCTGCAAGTTTCTCCTTTCCTTACTGACTTTTATTCCCACTTTCTGTAACCTCACCAACTGCAGCAGAGCTTTGAAAATGGAGCAAGTGAAAGTGAGTTTCAAAAGAGGTGTATTCCAACTCCAGTGAGCTGTTTGGAATATCCACTTCTGATGAAGTGTGGGGTAATTTTGTTTTTTGTAGACGGTCCTGCGTGGCTCATGAATCAAAGCACAGATCAAGCTAGTCTCATTTCATTAGCTTTATTTGGCTCTGGGAAGGGATGGATCATCTTTCTAAATCACATTTAATCTGCTTATTTTGGCTAACCTCTTTTCAAGAAGGAAATTCAAAGCCTACCGTGAGTATACGGAATAAAACGGTCTTAAAAGTAGAATTTTGCCACCTCTGCTTCAAAAACAGATTTGGGAAATGGGACATGATGGATTTTGTGCTACATAGTTGAATATTTTGATCTTGTTCTTTTAAGTGGTAGTGAATCATTTAATCATGAGAACATTCATTTAGAAGATGAGATACAATTTGGATGATAGCCAACACTACTCCTGTTAGGTTTATTTGCTGCCAATTATAAGTTTACTTGAAGTTTATATTAAAAAGAAACCAACACAAATTTGGAGAAGAAGGGAGAAAGTAATGGAAACATCAGGCTCTTTGTAATACTTGAGTTAGGGCAGTGTTTATAATCATGATGGATGATGTTTCAAAAAGCAGAATCTGTTTCAAAGCAATCTCTTCTTCCTCCCCTCACCTTTATTGATTTCCATGGACAGTTAAAAATCAGGTACAGTGTTAAAATTCTCAGTTTTGTTATTTGGATAATAAAGAACATATAAAAGTATGATGGGATTCTGTATCTCTTTAAAGCACCACAGTTCAGTTTATGATAGTGTTATTTGCTAAGTAAGCATGAGTAATGATGTTGTTTGCCAAAATTTGTCTTTTTTTTTGTTTTCCCCTCCTACAGAAAAATAGTTTCGGAATACGAGAAGACGATTGCTCAGATGATAGGTAGGTGTTCCTGCTGTGAAAGGCGCTCCCTGGTTGAAGTCTGTGGGCTTCATTTTGATGCTGGCTGCATCTGCTGATGCTGCAGGGAATTGTGAATGCATCTGAGGACACCAGGAAAGGAAAAGTCAGGGCCTCGTCTCACAGCCAGCAGCCCCCGGGCAGTTCAGGTAACACAGAGAGCTCAGGGCTTTCCCTAGGAAACAGGTTCAAATTCATGGGTTTCTCCAGGAGAGACTTTCAGTGACCTAAAAACCCCTTAGGCATCAGCTCACAGCTGTTTAAAGGCAGATACCAAAGTTAGCTCTTCACAGCAACAGGGATTATCTGTGCTAAATGCATTGATCAGACCAAAACCAAGATTAACTCCAATCCCAGCTGGGACCTTCCAGTGCCCAATCCACCCCCCCAGTTACTTACTGACACAGGGGTCTCCTTTCAAGTCTAAATTGTGACAAGTTTTGCCTCTCAGTAATTAAAAAACACCTTTGCTAACAGCATGTCTCACAGATAAAAACCTCTACCCTCAGTAGCTCTCCAAACCCAAAGGTTGCAGGGCTCATGTGGTTCCTCAGCACACGAGGTCTGGCCCCTGGGATGTGATTTTAAAGCCTCCTCTAAGATTTCTAAAGCTCTTTTTATTAGTCTGGCTATAGCTGGCACAAGCACCAGTGGCTTGGGCTGCCTTGCACTGCTTCAGCTCCAGCAGTTTCCCAGAAAGGCAAATGGCTGAGTGGAATTTTGGGGTCTCCAAGGCCAGAGGTGCTCAGAAGAGCACCAGATTCTGGTGCTTTTGCTGCCTTCCTGGATTTCTTGGCCATTGGGAGGCATTTCAGCCTCATTTCAAGTGAAGGGTAAAATGCACGTGCAAATAAATTTTATGGTAATGACAGCTATAACTAATAAATTAATGAAATACATATAATAATGAACAATAAACACTAATAATATGCCAGGCTTCATTCTCTCTGGTGTTTTGCCTCCATTGCCTTTTGTATGCACAACTGAGCCAATGTGCTGCTTTCTGACATGGTGTGTGTCATTGTCATCATGCAAATGTTCAAGCAGGAGTGACCAGAGTGTGCAAAGAACTTATTTCATTTTGGTTTACAGTAAACATACCCTGGTGTGGCATCCACCCTGAACCTGGCCAGTCCTACAGACACACTAAAGACCTGTCCTTTCTTCCCCAAGCTATGCATACAGTTAACAACAGATAAATTAGAATTCTGTTTTTGAGAAAGAAATTTGAAAAAAATAGTAAATTTTGAGACTGCAGCGCAACAGTAAGATACAGAATAGGAATCCTGAGGCAGAGGCCTTGGTGTACATGGTGCATTCCACCATTGCCATTTCCTCTTGTTGCAAAGAAATGAAGGTTCAGTAAGTATTGGGCCACTGACTGTAATATAATAGCTCTTTAAACTTCAGATTCAGAGTATCAGAGCCTCTCTGTGGTGAGTATTTAAGGGCTATGGTTATAAGTAATTGAATTTGCTGTCCGTTTGCAAAGGAACTGAACCAACAACAGCTACACAGAAAACATCCTTTCTGTGTTAATTAGAGCAGTATGCAAATCCTACAGCATGGTAAAACGTTAAATGTGAGGCTTCTCCCTGCATTTAATGTAAATTTTTGATCTAATTGTCCCACTTCTTCATGCCATTTCTTGTAAATTGCTGTCCTTTCCGATAAAGGAATTCACTCATCCGAATGCCACATGTGGAGGAAAATGTGTGTTTGTTATTTGCATGTACTTCAGTGACCTGTTAGTGATGCCTCAGTGCTGAAGCAGAATATGCATCTGAACAAAAGAAATGCCTGTGCTGTTTCTGTTCATCATTTAACCCTTCTGAACTATTTATACAGCTCTGTTAGAAGGGCACTGCGCATAAACCAAATTCACCAATCCCTTTGATGAATATTCAGTGAGGTTGATAGGTCCTGCTGAGCTTTTTGCAGGCTGGTGTGTGCATAATGAATACTGAAAATGTCCCATATTAACAATATATGACTGCCTGTGTTTGCTTCTAAAGGCACTGAAAAATGTGCACTGCAAACAGCAATTGCCTTTGATTCCAAGGGCTGTGAAAGGTTCAGTATTTGCTGTCTCACATATATGGAACCCAAAATTACCCAGCTTAGCTGCTGTGATTACTTCATGCCACACTGTGCAGGCTGCCAGTGTGGAGATCCCTGTTTAGTGTCACTTGGTGTATTTTTTCACTCGTGCTTTTATCTTTTTTTCCCCTTTTTTTTTCTTACATTTGCCTCAACTCCTAACACATTTTAGTTTACTCTGAGGAGTGGGGAGAGGACAGACCAGGCTTTCAGGCTGTGCTGCTGCTTTGTGCTTGGTGCTGTTTGCTCTGACAGCCAGGGAGCAGAGCCTGGGTGATCCCAGTGTTCCTGCACCCTCCACACACCTGGCTCACAGCCAAAATCCCCACCCCAGTTCCTTTTCACTGACAAGTTTCTAATGTTGGTTTGTTGGTCTTTTTTTCCCTGTTAAAAATGTATCCTTATTTTTACATTTGAATACATGATGAGATTTATGAGATTTTACATTATGAGATTTACATTATGAGGATTTTTTTATTACTTTACATTTTAATAGATGATGAGATTCTCCTTGTGAAAAACAAACAGATGTTATGCTTTGTGCATTACAGGTTGTTGCATTACTTATTTGCTGCTTTCCTAACAATTCCCGATTTTTCTATTTTGCTTCCGTTTTCGTTGCTTCTTGCTATTTGCTTGCAAAAACAAAACAGGCAAGCCTGGTAAGTAAAGCTTTTCACCAACTTTCACACCAGCATTTTGCATCTTTAGTTTCTTTTGCTTTTGTTCTCTGTTTGCTGCATTCCCATTAAGTCGTGTGAGTAGTAGTGAGCTGAGCCTGAAAGCGGATCTGCCGTGGTGCTGCTCTGATTCTGTCAATTTGGATAGTGCCAGTCCTGAGCATACTGCTGTGATTGTTGGTGAGCCCTGGGCAGGCTGTGGTGTAGATGTGGAAGTCATTTAATTCAAATATTTTGATCACATAACCTCGTAAACATATTTAGAATTAAGGATGTGTGGCCGCTTATCTAAGATTTGACTTAGCACATTTTATTGAAACTAAATCATAGTCTTAGAAAATAGAACGTCCTTTCCAACCCAAACCATTCTGTGATTTTATGAAAGTATCACATAAAACTCTAGTCTCCCTCCAGCCAAGTTTCTGCCTTTTGTTGTATTTAACCACTTTGGTTTGGGAGCATCACTTGGATGGGCTTGGAGCAGCCTGGTGCAGTGGGAGGTGTCTCTGTCCATGGCAGGGACATTAAATTATTAAATTATTAAATGATCTTTAAAGGATCTTCCAACCCAAACCATTCTGTGGCTCTGTAGCATTTGCCCCAGTTTCCATGAGTTTAAATGGTGCTGGGGGTTGAGTGTTGGAGGAGCTGATCCAGCTGAGGAGAGAGGAGAGCCCACAATGTGCTGGGAGGAAGAGGAGGAGCTCAGTAGTTGTGAGGGAGTGTGACATGAATTATTAACTTCCTCCCCCCCTGGAAACAAGTAAGGAAGTGGCTAAAATACCTCAGACAACAGTCTCACAAAAAGTAGGGATGTGATACTAAATACACTAAAATATTTTGGATGAGGATGCACATGGATCTCTTGCCCATGGAGTTGCAGTGACAGAAGTGTTGCCAGAGAACAGGATCCTGCCAGGAAAGGGTTTGGAATTATCTAGGCAGGGTGTAATCTCCAGCACAATTAAAGAAATCTAGTGCTGGAACACAAGGAGACAGCCTCTGAGCTTTAGAAAAATAAAATAAAAACAACAATTTTTTTTTTTGTTTTAATTGAGAACACATTAATTTTGACATTAGAGAGGAATACAGAGTGTCTCTGAGAAAGCAAAATAGAAAAGAATGTTTCTTTTTAATAAAATGTTAAATATATCCAAGTGATATTGTATTACACAGTTGGGCTTCTCTGCCATGTCCACGGTGTTTGTTCACCAGTAAAATAAAGGTGCTACAAGCAGGTCCTGAGAACTTCTCTGGTTCTTTTCATCTTCTGTATCACACAGAGCAAAACAAGCTCAGGTCAGGCTCTGCCCCAGCCAGGTGCTGTCAGAGGTGAGCAGAGGAGCTCAGGAGCTGATGCACTTGCTCTAGCCTTGGTCAGGCCAGCAAAAATGTGTATTTTTTGGATGAAATATGCAAGAGGAAGAGATAAATCTCAGCTTGGGAATTGACAGTATCAGCTTTGGCATTTTGGAGCTGACCAGCACTATAAATAATTCAGATGAAATCTTCTATTCAGATAAAACCAACAAACTTGTTTAGTTCTTTATGTTTCCAAATATGAAGATCCAGATGAAAAGTTGTACATTGTGAAATGCCCCATGCTTTTTCCACAGGAGAACTTTTTACCTTATCTTAGTTTCTATCATAAACCAAGGAAAATGGTAATATAAAACTGTTATGTTTTGTGGGTGGGTTTTCCTTTCGGTATCATGCAAAGTACCCCTTAAAACAAGGGCACAAGAATCATAGTTTAGGATGTGAAGGAAAAAATGCAGCATTTTGGAAGACAATGCCAGACCTTTTCTTCCAGTGGTATGTGAATATCCCAACTTATTATGAGGTCAATTCTCTTGAAAATTCCTCCTCCATATGGATTTGTATTCCTGTTATGTTCTTCCCACTACCCCTGGCTCAAATTTAGCTATACACAGAAGGAGTTTGGCAGATGTTTTTTGCAGTTTTTTTACACTTAGGAAGTCTGTCTGATGTTAGATTTCCTTTCTGCCACTTGCTCCAGCAATCCTGAGAGCTGGTAAAACATTGCTTTTCCAAGGGAAGAATTGAATTGCACTGAACAAAGTGCCTTGTTTGTGCAGGATTAGAAGGTGCCAGGAGATGACAGGCATTTATCAGCAGTAGCAAATAACTTGTGGCCAGTGCTAGGAATGTGCATAAATGTCCTTTCCTTCAGCTCGTGCATCTTCAGGGGAAATCCAGCACCTGCCTTTTCGAGTTCAGAGTGAAGAAATCATCACTACAGAGATACATTCACATTTTCCCCCAACATCAAAATATTTAAATATCACTGTATTTAGCAACTGTTTTCCAAACCAGGCTTGTGTCTTTATATAAATCTGACTTTTCTGGATCCTATAAACTTACTAATACACAAATAGGGCAGAATATAGTAGAAACTGTAGATGATAATGAACTCAGTGGACTTACTCCTGTTACCCTTCTGAAAACCTCTCTTTTCTCTACTCCTCTCTTCTTTCAGAGGATGAACAGAGAGAGAAATCTGTCTCCCACCACACTGTTCAGCAGCTCATAGTGGAGAAGGAGCAAGCTCTGGCCGATCTGAACTCAGTGGAGAAATCCCTGGCAGATCTTTTCAGGAGATACGAGAAGATGAAGGAAGTCCTGGAGGGGTTTCGGAAGGTGAGTCACCTTAACGTCTCCTTTAAAGAGCAGAGCTGAGCAGATTCTGTGGACCAGAATGTGCTGTGCTGCTGGACAGAAGGCAGGACTTGTGTTTCCAGCTGATTCTGATGTTCTGCATGCCAAACCATAATCTTCAGGTGAAGGATTGCAGGCAGCTATCAAATGCAAACAGAAAAATTGTAAAACTCCTTGCATTGTGAAATATTCTCTTTCAGGGGGTGTCAGTGTTGGACTGCAGCCCTTCAAACAGCTGTGTGTGTGACTCCCTGTCCTGCATTTTAACCTCTTGGTTTAAATTTGATGTCATCTTCTCTTTTAAGAATGAAGAAGTGTTGAAGAAATGTGCGCAGGAATATTTGTCACGAGTGAAGAAGGAGGAGCAGAGGTACCAGGCACTCAAAATTCATGCTGAGGAGAAACTGGACAGGTAATTGAGTCATGGATTCACAGAATGGTTTGGGTTAGAAGAGATCCTTCCTAAAACCATCTTGTTCCACCCCCTGCCATGGGCAGGGACCTTCCACTGGTCCAGGTTGCTCCAAGCCCTGTCCAACCTGGCCCTGGGCACTTCCAGGGCTGGTGCATGGATTATACACATTTTTTCAGGAGTTCATGCTGCAGAAGGATTCCCATGGCTGGACCTCACATCCCAAACTGATCCTGCAATATGCAAATCACAGGCTGCTCTGGGATAGAGGTGGAAAGAAATGCAATAATGAGAATTTCTGCAATGTGCTGGTGTTTCTTCCAGCTCCTTAAGAGCATACAGAACAACTTAAATTTCTATATTTAGCTAATGTCTTTATATTTGTTAATGTATTATCATGGGAGAATCAAGAAAGAAGCCATTAGCCAGTTTCTTTTTTCTAGATCTCCACATAATGACCATTTAAGCCTTTCTAGGGATCATGTTCAGGACTCATAGTACAGTGCCCTGAACTGGAGATCATATTTGGTAACTGCCATAAAACACTTCTGCCTGAGTCATATTTGTGACCTCAGCAGAGATATCTGAGAGAAGCACAAAGGGAGCAACACAGACAGTAAGAAAAGGCTCTGCAGCCCCTGCTGAGCAACAGAGGGAGTTGTGGAAAGTTCAGGGACGAATCTCACAACATACCCAGGATGTACAGAAGGCAGCCCTGCCCTCTCCCCCCATTTGTTAAGGTGCTGTCCACCCTGGGGCACCCTCTGCCCTTTCCTGTGGAGACCCAGCTGTGACCAAGCCCTGTGATTTTTGCAGAGCCAATGCTGAAATTGCACAAGTGAGAGGCAAGGCCCAGCAGGAGCAGGCAGCGTACCAGGCCAGCCTTCGCAAGGAGCAGCTCAAAGTGGATGCCTTGGAGAGAACACTGGAACAAAAGGTAAATAAACCAGGAGCCAAGCTCTGCCTGAGGATTGTCCTGCAGCTTTGGGGACAGCAGCACTCCCCAAATTTTAAGGCAGAACCCCTGTGAGCAGCAGCTGGAGCCAGGTTTGATCTGAGCCCAAGTGTTTGGGGCTGGCTCAGCCTTGGGCAGAGCTCAGGGTGCACCTCTGCAGCCCAGGCCTTGGCTTGCTTCACTTCTCAGGTTTTTCTCTCAGGTTCTGTTTCCCTTTTTAGTGCTAGCTGTAATTCCAATGCTAATTCCAAAGTGTCTGTAGGAAATGCCTATTTATATCTCTAGCTCAGCCAAGGGAGCTTGCTTTGGCATAGAACAGCTCGTCCTTGCTTGCAGCTCTGCAAGGCAGGGTGAAAATAATGAAAAAAAAACAGAAAAGTGCAGCCTAGAAACAAATTTCCACTCTGTATTATTGTGGAGTGCTGGGAGTGAGTGCTGTGAGGCTGTCTGCTTTGGTGCTAAATTTGATTTATTAAAACTGGAGGAGCTGAATTTGGAAGAAAGGAAGCATTTGTTTGAATGCATGTAGCTGTACTATGAATATGAGCACTTAGTTGTACTATATATGCAGATATATCTGTATGTATAAATCTCCTGTTCTCAGCATTGGAGAAAAGTTAATTTTCCCACACCTTTCTCACTAGTTAGATAACATTAAAATTAAAAAAAAAAAACAAACCTCCTCATCTCTAATGCAGCAATCCTTTTCCTAATACTTCATATTTTATTTTCCAGAATAAAGAGATAGAAGAATTAACAAAGATTTGTGACGAACTGATTGCCAAAATGGGGAAAAGCTAACTTTTAACCAAATTTCTGGACTTCGATACTGAGTGCAATATGACCATTGGCACACTGATGTCCATACATTTATGTGGACAGGTTATATTTTCACTTTTTCGTATGCACTACTGTATTTTCTTTCTAAATAAAGTTGATTTAATTGTATGCAGTACTAAGATGACTATCAGAATTTCTTGCTATTGTTTGCATTTTCATAGTATAATTCATAGCAAGTTGATCTCAAAGTTCCTGTATCAGGGAGATTGTCAAGTTCTCTAAGAAAATACAAATTGCTGATCCTAGCCTTCCCTTTGTACATGAGTTCCCATGTTGGATGTCTTTTGGATTTAATATAAACACGTATTACTTGCATGGGGACTCTTGCCTTAAGGAATGTAAACTTTATCTGCATTTGCTGATTTGTAAAATAAAATCTAAAAAAAAAAAAAAAAAAAAAAGGAAAATGCATGTCACAAATGAAATTCTCTATTGTAAATAAATTTTTTCGTTGAAAGTTGAAGATAAGTATGTCTCTCTTTTGTGTCCTTCACTTGCTTATTTCAGCACCAGATGCTCTTGGGAATTAATTCCTCCAGAGAAAGCACTTCATGGGTCACTGCTTGGAACACTTTGTGGGTCACAAGAGTCTGCTGCTTATGTGCACATATCTAGGTCTATATCTTAATGTCTCTCTAAATATATATATATATATATGTGTCTATGTGTTGGATTTGGACCACTCAAGTCTCAAGCATAGGCTTAATCCTCCAAAATATTTAATGCTCTGACCCTGATCCAGCAAATCCCATGGGCAAATGTAATGAGGCTGTTGGAGGAGTCAGAGGCTGTGCCATGTGGTGACAGGATGGTTTTTAAGCATGTCTGGCACTGAAAGGTGAATAATTTCCTGCTCCTGGCAGAATTTGCCTGCAGGGCTGGTGGAGCTGAGGTTGGTGTGATCAGAGGTGCAGCCAGAATAAGCTCCATAAGTAGCACTCTTGAACACCTCTTTATCCTGTAAGTTATCCTCTGCGCAGGATTAGGGATGGAGGAGAAGCATTAAGGCTCTAATAGCAAACAAACTGCTTTCTTTGCCTAATGGTGCATCTCTTGGATCTCCATGATGTGGACAGTCTTCAGCCTGGTTCTTGTCAGCTCCCTTTTTGTCCTCAAAAGTAAGTCAGCTCCTTTTTCTTTCCTTTTTTTACTTCATTTGCATTCCCTGCCTCAGGCATGGCTGAGCCTCTTTGCTGTTCTGGGCTCCTCTCCTGGGCTGGGTGGTTTCAGGTTATTTTGTGTGTGTGGTTGGCAGCACAGAACTGCACCTCTGTAAAGATAAATGTGTGTGCTAACAGATTCAAATGTCCCCACTGATAGCAAGGGTGGGATTTCTGCTCTGCAACTTCAAGTGTGGTGTTTGAAATATCTTTATAACTCATGCTTGCCTTCCTTTGAAAATGCCATGTAATTTGAGGCAAGGAAAAGAAAGGATTGAGGTGTGGTTGTGGTGTTTAAACAAGAGCAAAACTCAAGATACATTGCTGTGCTTTCCAGCTGAATTGGTACTTCAGGAGAAGAGGAAAATTGGATCATTGTGAGATTTTATGTGTATACAATGTGCTTTCTCATGGCACTGTGGACCAAAGATCATGAAGGAGGGGGAAAAAACATTTGGGCTCTGCTCTGGAAACATTACAAGAAGATATGGATGCAGTTACAGAACATCAAATGGTTTTTGTATTATTTTAAATGCAGATTACTTATAACAACTAAGTAATCTGCTGTTGATGTTTTTTTATTATTATCTTTTTATCAATATTTGACCCATTTCTAAAAACATTGATAAGATTTACAGACTCTTTGGATTTACCAAAGCTCTGTTGGAATTATTTTATGCATGCTTGAAAACCTACTAGAAAGATTGATATTTTTGAATACTTCTTGTAAGTTCTAAATGGTCTCTTCTCCCTCCACCCAGGTGAAGCACTGCAGTGTTACACCTGTGTAGGTTCTAGTGATGACGACTGCAACAGACAAGGAAGTCAGCAGTGCCCAGGCCATGCAGATGCCTGTGCAGTCATTAGAGGACAAGCAAGTAAGTGTCACAAATGTGTCAGACCTGTTGCATTTGTCACAAAAGAAAGAAATAGAGAAGAGTGCTGAGTAAGTTAAGGAAAAAAACAAAATTAAATGTCTCCTCTCAAAATAAACCCCATTAATGAATCTTAGTCCTGGTTTTGTTGTCACAAAATCCCACAGGGAATGATTTGTCGGTGCGCCGCAATGAGCTGCACCCAGTCTGTGGGAAAGCTGGGAAGAAGCATTTTAAGTATTGCCCACTTTTTGCTTAGCTGGAAATTAGGATGGAAGAGAAGCTCATGAGCACTTGGGCACATCCAAAGATATTTAAGCTGCACCAGTTGCCTGTAAGATAAATTCAGTTATTTAAGGGGGAGCTGTCGGTGCGCTGCCTTGTTGTGGCCGTGTTCATTTTCCTGTGAGGAGCGGCCCAACCCGGCCCAGTGCTGGATGGTCAGGCTGGTGCAGGAGGCCATTGGCAGCCCCTGTGGGCTCACTGTGGCTCTGTTGCAGGTGGCACCATGAAGTGCTGCTGGTTCAGGTCCTTCTGCGAGCGGGCGAGGCGCGACGGATCGCGGGCGCCCGGCGTGAGCGTCCACTGCTGCTACTCCAACAACTGCAACGCCAGGAGCCTGGCTCCCAGGGTCACCAGCTCCTGCAGCCTCCCCCTCCTCCTCCTCACCCTGCTCTGGCTCCCCTTGCTGAAGCTGACATGAGGGGGAAAAGGAAAAAAAAAAGAGTATCCTGAAGCAACAACTCTGCCTTCTTAGCAAGGGGTGATAGTATTTGATAATCACGTTGCTCCATGTACCATTTATCTCACTAGGCAAAAAGCTGTAGGAAGACCTGACAGATGTTTAGATAAAAAATTGTTTCATCTGCTAAATAGGTCTTGATCTCTGTGTAAGGAATGCTGCCCTGCTGCTTATTTTCCTGCAATTTGGATAAGGAGAAATCTTGGCTGCAGGTAACCTGGTAGTAAGGTCAAGGGCAAATGGCTGCCAAATGCTTTTTGCTGTTGGCAGATATTCAAAAGCAAGCTAAAATTTTCAAGCACAAAGTGACTGAAAATTCTAGCAAGCAAGTTAATCTTTCAGAGCATATTGGCGTGCTGGAAAAAAGGAAACTTGAAATACAGATGATTTAGTATTAATACAAACGGTAAGAGAAGGTGATTAAGAGAATAATGCATGGAGGCATATTCTTTTGTATATGATATGTTCCTGGCAGGGGGACTGGAACTGGATGGTCTTTATGGTCCCTTCCAACCCAAACCATTTAATGGTTCTATGTTTGTGTGCATATTTCCTTGGAAAAAACACCTTCCAGTCTTCTCTTTTCTGATCCTTTGAGAATTTTATCACAGCATCAGAAGAAGAAACAAGAAGAGTTTGGAAGTTGTTTTTGAACTGGTACTCTTTCCAAAGATTGGCTCAATCTGTCTCCCTTGCTGGCTTAAAAACAAGTGATTAATTCCTGTCTTGCAGGCAAATTATAACTTGAGTTTATAATTATTGAGGTTTCAGTTATGTAAATAATTCTCCACTGCCCTAAACTGCAGCCTTTGAGAGTAGGAGTGTATGTATCTGTACAGGTCACCCCTTTCAATGATGTGGTGGAGTTGAGGTGGTTTATGATCTTTTCATTTTGCAAAGTGAATGAAATTACTTGGAGGTCTTTAGAGGCATAAAGAGGGACTAAATCAGTATTTTTAATAAACCCATTCACGGCACTTTTACCAAGTAAATGATCCAGAAGGGGTCACACAGTAGAAGGCATTGTGCATCACTACCTCCTTTGATCCAAAACTCAGAGCTCCAGGCAAGCAGATGAGTGAAATTTGTAGATTTTAATGTCCAGCTGTGATGATCTGGTCCAACCCCTGGCACACAACATGCACAGGACTGGCTGAAAGTCCAGCTGGTGTAGCTGAGGTAGAGGTGGTCTTTCCAGTTCTAGTTTTAGCTGCCTAGCAGGAAAAACGTTAGGTCATCAAATTTATGGAACTCACAAAATAAGTGGCAAAGTAGTTTTTCCCCTAGCTTTGTGTTGTGACTTTTTTTTCAGTACAATTCTTTGAAAAATCAGTTCTGGGCAGTGTGTAGTAGAATTCTTCACATTGACCAAAATTTTATTCAGGTTGCAAACTCTAGAGCTGCTGCAAGGTCAATGAGTGAGCCCTCCCTGCAGAGTGTAGCCCTGCCTGCCTTGTAGCTGTCTCAGGGGCTGAGCTGTCTCCTTGTTTTACTGTGCCCTTTCCCCAGTGTGGATCCTTCCATCATCTCATGTGGGCTGTGGCTTCAGACTGCCTGGATTCTCCTGGGTTTGTTCAGGTGGGCTCAGACAAGGCAGCTTGGTCTGTTTTTAGTCTCTAGGCACCACTCTGATAAAGCTGTTAAATATAAAGATTGCAACAATGCAGCAGATCTTGGCTGAGAATGTTAATTTGGACTCCAGTGTCTCATCTGTATAAAAAAATCATTTAAATTGGTGTAAGTATTTTTCATTTCATTCTCAGCTTGAAGCAGTTCCTTCAATCTCTTCTGCTACAGGAAGCAGGTATTGATTGTATCTTTATCTTCCTATGGTTCTGTAATGATAAATCTGTATTGAATGTAATCTCTGTATGTGCTCAGTGCATTTCCTTAATGAGAAAATAAATTACATGCAATGGCTGACATTGTCTCTTGGTAAACACAACTGCTTCTTTTAATTGGGATTTCCAGCTGCATCTGGTGCTCTGTTTTCCTGCAGGAATCCTGTTGGGCTTTGTTGTTTTGTTGGGTTTTTTTTTTAATGTGGGATATATTTCTTAAATCTGTTGGATAAAATAGTGGATGTTGGTAGTGTTCTTGCTGCTGTATTTCCATGGTAAAATAAGAAGGTAAATCTCTATCCTCTTGACAAACACCATCTGTCATTCCTGACGGCAGCCAGGGCTGGGATCTTCAGGCAGCTCCCGCCGCCTCCATCCACTCCTGCCTCCCAGCTCCTCACAGGCCCTGCTTTGCTTTTTACAGCAAAAAAATACATTTTCCCTGCCCAGTTATGACCCTGAAGTGTGCCTGCATGTGGATATCTAGGAAGGGTGAGCCACGTTTGTGGATTGGTGTTTTCAGAGCGGTTTCGTGATGGATTTTGGCATAAGCGTTGACAGGAAGACAAGCACAAAGAAACAAAAACAAAATAGGATGAATATTTTTTAAACTCCCATTAAATTGCAGAAAACATTTTAATGGTTTTGTTGCCATGTCTGTGCAGAGCTAGTCCCAGTCACAGGTGCAAGAGAAAGTTCTGAGGTGAATTCCTGCTGCAGCCACAGGCTCCTTCTCCCTTCCATAATGTCAGAAGCAGAGAATCTGATGCTGAATTGCTTTCTGCTGCAACTCAGAGTGACAGGACTTCTTTTTCATCTCTTGTTTCAGCTGGATTTATGTGGATTTATCAATTGGGTAAGTGCTGGGTTTGAGTGTCACTCTGCTCTCTCACTTCCAAAAAGATTAATAATTTCTAAGTGAGAGAAAATATCAGTTAAAACTACAACCCCAAATCATAATTTCCATTATTCCTTTCTATCCTCTTGTTTTTGGCTCTACAAACAGCATTCCTTTATTTTCCTGGTCCTGTCAAGGGCAGCCAGAGCCTCTGGGACTTCTCAGGAGGGCACAGCTGCGCAGAGAGAATTTGCCATTTAATTTGTGTCAGTGTTCCTCCACACCTGGCTTTTCCACAGTGAGCACAAGGTACCAAGTTGTCCCTTGTTCTTGGTGAGGAATAAGCAATTCTTGTGGCCTTGAAAATCTAGATCAGCTCAATACTGGCTGTGCAATTTGATGGAAGTTTCAAGTACATCTTGCTGTCACAAACCACAGTTTATTTTTTAACCTTTTTTTCCTCATGTGAAATTTCAGTCATGCATTTCTGTGCAGTAGGGATTAAACAAGAACCATCCTTGCAGCCTGTGTTACCATGTCTTTGTGTGCAAAGAAAGCCCAGCTGTGGCAGATTTCATTGTGGGCATCAAATTTAAGGGTCTCAACCTTTCTGGACGTGCAGATGTTGAGGACACTGATGTGTTACTGTGGTTGGTAACGTGGCCTTGGGGAGGATTTCATGCCTCTGAAATCAGAATTCCTGAGTGCAATCCTGGATATACACACACTCCCTCTTATCACCCACAGCCAGCAGTGCACGGGGTGTTTTTAATTGGAAAATTTGTGATTCACTCAGAGGTGGCATATTTACTCACAACAGAGTGGGGAAAATGATAACAATGTTAATCCCATAAAAAGTGTAGCAAGAAATTCACGGTGTTGGTGGTGTAGGTGCAGGTGAACTTTCTTAGCATCTGAGAAAAAAAAATCACAAGTGAAAAGCCAGTGTGGGATTGAGTTTGGAAAAAGCACAGAAGCAGTTCATGCTTGGCAGAGTGGCTCCATGGAAAGTAGGTCTTGTCAAAAACATCTCATTTGGGGTTAGGGCTTTTTGCTGATAAAGGCAAATACATGGGTTTTTTGCAACACTTTTCAGATAAAATCATAGTTGTGATACACAGACTGAGAGTTCAAGAGCCAGGGGAGTGAAAGACTGCAGAAAACAAGTTCTCAGTGGAAAATCTTCCAAGTGGTGTCTTGAGAGAGGCGAGCTGCCATCATCAGCCTCGGGACGGTGCCATGACAAGTGTGACAGAGAAGGGGCTGTCAAAGCTGTGCCGTGCCTGCATGGAGACATTCCTGCACGTTGCCATAGGGATGGGTTTCCAAGGGAGACAGGTGATGATGATGCACTTTTCTGGAACAAAACTAAAGCAGAGGGATGAGGGTGGGAGGATGGGGCTGAGCATTTTAGCGCAGAGTCCCAGAAGGGTTTGGGCTGGAAGGGACCTGAAATCCCCCCCAGTGCCACCCCAGCCATGGCAGGGACACCTCCCACTGTCCCAGGTGCTCCAAGACCAATGTCCAGCCTGGCCTGGGGCACTGCCAGGGATCCAGGGGCAGCCACAGCCTCTCCCAGGGAGGAATTCCTTCCCAAATTCCCACCTAACTCTGCCCTCCTTTTCAGCCACCCAACCCTCCTTTCTTCCATGTTTAGCACTAGTAATCCCTTAAGGAGTGCACTTTTCCTTAAATTCCTTACATCTTGTACAGCAGCCTGACTTAGCTCCACAGGCCCTCCTAAAACCCTTTTAGCTGCAAGCCCAAAAGACTTGCAAGTGTGAGGTAATGCTTGACAGGTAAAGAGGAATTTCTCTCTTGAAGCAATTTGCCTTCTCTCAGGACTTCCTGCCTTTCATCCTCACCAAAATAGTTTTAATTTTTTCTTTTAAACACTCAAGGGGAGAAGGTATTGGAACACTGGCAGAGACAGCCAAAAAAATAAGACTGGTGTCCAAATCACTGATTGCTGCTGCCTTCACTGTAGACACTCAGTGTCATGTCTTAATGTCAGTCAGTTTCTGATTTTCAGTGAATAAAAACCAGTGTCTGTAGATCTGGAGCTCAGAGGGACTGGCTGCTCTCTCTTCAGCCAGGTCAGAGCCTGATTTTCCCTAAAGAAACTTTTGATTTATGGGTTTGCTCTTGTGCTCTCCCAACCTAAAGAGAGCTTTTGCAACATATCCTTGAGATCCTGAGGATGTTCATCTCCTTTTAGCAACTTTTCTTTAACCCTTTTACAATGTTTTGAGGGCTTTCCAATGCAAGCAAAATCTCCACAAGTGTGCAGTTATTAAATTCAAATTCTCATCCTTATGTGTCACTGGAATGACATTTCCAATAGGAGGATAACCTCTGAATTTCCTCCTCACACTCTGCTCATTACCAGCCTTAATCAGCAAGGTCAGTTGTGCTTTAATTTTGCTTTATGTGAGCATTTGAAGTCCCAATGGTCAGGACACACTTTTGGAGAAATCTGCAGCCACAGAAGGGAAATGAGCACCCTGCAGTGTCCAGTGATGATTTGAGCCTCCCTTCTGATGCACTGCATCCCTGAGAGCTGGGTGTGTGTAGCCATGATATTTTTATGAAAAATCCTTTCCTTAGGATTTTTCCTCCTGGGAAGCTGAGAGGCCTCAGGAACAAAATGCAAACAATGGTTATCTGCTGCTGTGGAATGCAACAGGTGCATCTGGGATTGGTCTCATGTGGTTGTTTCTAATTAATGGCCAATCACAGTCAGCTGGCTCGGACTCTGTCCAAGTCACAAGCCTTTGTTATTCATTCTTTCCTATTCTATCCTTAGCCAGCCTTCTGATGAAATCCTTTCTTCTATTCTTTTAGCATAGTTTTAATGCAATATATATCATAAAATAATGAATTAGCCTTCTGAAACATGGAAGGTTCCCTCATCCCTCATCCATCTCTTCCCTCATCCTGGGACCCCTGTGAGCACCACCACAGGTGTGTGAGGAGCAGCAAGGAACAAGCTCTGCCCTCCTCTCCTTTGGTCCTTAAGGGTTAATTTTCACTTTTTGGAGCTGTCTGTTTGCACTGTACCATGAGCAGTGCTCATGAGCACTTGGCAGTCTCCATCTCTTGTTTCCACATTCTCCCAGCCAGCTCTGACTCCTCATGTTGGATAAACACGTCTGGTTTTGTTCAATATTCTGCTGCAGTGATTGGGGCTCTGCAAAGAGCAAATCAGCAACTGAGGTGAAGCAAATCCAGGAGTGGGGGCAGTGAGCTGGGCCAGGAAAAAACATTCCTGGGGAGATCATCCGAGCTGGGCTGTGCCTGGGGGCACTGGCAGAGGTTTGTCAGCATTCCTGGCATCAGGGCTGCGAGCAGGACAGATCCACCAGGCTCCTCTGCTGTGCTTTGTGCAGCAGCTGAAAGGGAGAGGTTTGTCCCTGGGATGGTTTGGTTCACTCACCCCAAGGCTTAGGACAGGAGGAGCTTCTCCTAAAGCACCTTCCCACCCATTTTTTCCCTGATTTAGGAGATTTTTCTCCTGAATGCCAGCCCGTGGATGTCTGGTGCTCTTTAAATGAGGAGGGGTTTGCAGAGTTTCATCAGTTGCTGGTAATTTCATAAATAAATAATAAAATAGGGGTAAATTAGGGATAAATGAGGGGCTGTGCCAGCCAGGAAGTTTTCCAGAGCTGGCCTGGATGGGACTCTCCTGAGGATGATGATAAGCAGGGGGGAAAAACCCTGCATTGATTTGACATCTCCTGTTACCATCAGAGAGAAGCAGTCCCTGGAAAACCCATCTCCTCAAACTCAGGCTCCCTTGTGGAAACTGAGAACAATACTTTGCCCATGAATGATCAGGAGTGGAGTGATCTCATCTGACCTTTGCTTTAATGTGGCTTATCCAAAGCTTTTTATGCTTATCCAGGCCTTGGCTCCGGGCTGCTCTGTGAGCCCTGGCTATTCGGGGCAAATCCTGCTGACCCCTCCTTCAGCTGCTTCCTCAGGAGGATGAAGAGGGGATTACTGCCCACGGATGGGCATCCTGAGCCAGCAAACAAACACTGCTGCCTGTCCTGGGGCTGATTTCTGAGCCATGGTGTGCTCAGTGTGTGTGCCCAGTCTCACAGAGCAGCTCTCCAACAGGAGACAGATGGGCTGTGGGCTGCACTGGTCCCAAGAAATACAGTCACTCACTGCCTTAAAATAGCTCTCTTTTTATATTTATTTTTCTTGTCTCAACCACTTTTGCTCTAGATTTGCCCAGCTTCTACAGAAGCATTTTCATTCCTGTTGTTTCCATTACCTGAGATCAAGGTGACCACAAGCCCCAGTCAGGCAGAGGAGCTGGGATGGGGCCAGTGGCTGCAAGTGGGACAATGTTCAGTGATGCTGGTGGCCCTGGAAGGTGCCCTGGCTGGGGTGAGGTGCCTGCAGACAGAAAGACACACAGACAGACAGACACTGACCCTCAGGTGTCCCAGCCTGTCCCAGCTCCAGGTCCCCTCTCAGAGCTGCCTGTCTGGATGTCAGCTCTGTCCCACTCCCCTGCTGCTGCTGCTGGGAATTTTTGGATGCATTTTAAATCAGATTAGGCTCCCCTGGTTGTGCATGAAAAGCCTGAAGAGGCTGCAGAGCCAAATCAAGGCTCGTTTGAGGTGTTTTTGTTGGGTATCAGTGCTCCTGTTCTTTATTGCTTCTGCAGGAAAATCACCTTCATTTCTTTGCTGGTGATTTCACCTTCCACCATCCCAGGCGGCTCCCAGCCCCATCCAGCCTGGCCTTGGGCACTGCCAGGGATCCAGGGGCAGCCCCAGCTGCTCTGGGCACCTGTGCCAGGGCCTGCCCACCCTCACAGGGAACAATTCCCAATTCCCAGTATCCCATCCATCCCTGCCCTCTGGCAGTGGGAGCCATTCCCTGGGTCCTGTCCCTCCATCCCTGTCCCCAGTCCCTCTCCAGCTCTCCTGGAGCCCCTTCAGGTTCTGGAAGGGGCTCTGAGCTCTCCCTGGAGCTTCTCCTCTCCAGGTGAGCCCCCCGGGAAGGAGGGAGTGATTCAGGACCTGCAGCTCTCACAGAACACGGTCAGGGCTTCCAGACAGGACAAAATGAATTCAGCTTTCAGCCACCCTGGCTCTGGTGAACT